GATGGATAGATATATAGATAGATAGATAGATAGATAGATAGATAGATAGATAGATAGATAGATAGATAGATAGATAGATAGATAGATAGATAGATAGATAGATAGATAGATAGATAGATAGATAGATAGATAGATAGATAGATAGATAGATAGATAGATAGATAGATAGATAGATAGATAGATAGATAGATACATAGATAGATAGATAGATAGATAGATACATACATACATACATACATACATACATGCATACATATATACATACATACATACATACATACATAGTTTTTTTAACTTTTCTGCATGAGTTTGAGCTCATCATACTGACCAGGTCTCTGTCTGCAGCTGGTTCTGGTTTCCCCGTGTCAAAGTTCTCCTCAGAGACTTCTTGGGCGGCCTCGCTGCTGCTCACGATGGTCAGCAGGCCCAGGAGCAGCAGCCCCCGCATCATTCCGCATCTCTCCATAGTGCTGGTCCTGGAAGAGGAGGACGTGTGAGCAGGAGGAGAAGGCAACAAATTAAAAGCAGGAGGAGCTGAAGCTTGCTGCAGGATGTTCAAAACTTTTCCTCTTTTATAAGCTTTTAAAGCCCCTCCCAACAGAGCAGAGGCTGGAGTTAAAAGATACAAGGAGGTTCTTCACGTTCCAGTCGATCCACAGTTGATTACCTGCTGATCTGATACCTTCTCAAATTAAACTAATAGACAAATTTTCAAGAGCTTTAGTCCTTTCTACAAGGCTTTAGCTTCTAATACTAATTATGTTTGTCAAGAAATCAAAGCTTGACAGCTTTTTACTGAACTGACTGAAGAATTTCAGAAAAAACTGATCAAAAAACAAAAACATGCACATTTGTGCTATGAGAGAGAACTTGATGTAATCCCTCTATCAGCACAGGAACACACACACACACACACACACACACACACACACACACATACCCCCCCCCCCACACACACACACACACATACACACATACACCCTCGACACACACAGAAACACAACAGCAAAAGTAACCACAAATGTCATAAAACACAAACAACATATTCATGTAGATGTTGATAGTGATAGCGTAAGCATAGCCTTCAAAAACTTAATGGAATCAATTGGTTTTACCCAAAACCTCCGCACATCTACTCACTCTCATCATCACACTCTTGATTTAGTTCTGACTTATGGCATTGAGATTAATGACAGTAATACTTCCTCAAAATCCTGGTGTGTCTGAACATTTTTAATTACCTTTGAGTTTACATTAAATGATTACACAGTCACTGAGAGTAACTTTCATCTCAGCAGGTGCTTATCAGAAAATGCTGTAACCAAATTTAAATAATCTCTTCCATCAATGTTTTTCTTTGTATTGCAGAGTAATACATCAGAAAACAATGACTTAGATCATCTAGTTGATAATTTTACAACTTTTTTGCAAACTTCACTTGATAAAGCCACTCCGCTGAAAAATAAAGTAATTAATCAGAGGAGATTAGCTCCTTGATTCATTTCTGAGTTTCGTACTTTAAAGCAGGCATCTAGAAAGCTGGAATGAATATGGTGCTCCACTAACATTGAAAATTTTTACTTATCTTGGAGAAATAGCCTGCTAACGTATAAAAAAGCGCTCCGTAAAGCCAGAACTTTATATTACTCATCTTTAATTGATGAAAATGAAAATAACCCCAGGTTCCTTTTCAGTACCACAACTAGTCTAATGAAAAATCTTATCTCTATTGAACCATGTACCCCTACAACTATAAGCAGTGATGAGTTTTTGAGATTCTTTAAAAATAAAATTATTTCAATTAGGGAAAAAAAATCTAACCAACCTTCCTACTATCGCCTCTGGTTCTGTGTCAGATGAGACAATTTGGAAAACTTTCACTAGAGCCTGATTTGTGTTTGGACAGTTTTTGTCCTGTTGAGCGCTCTGAATTGTCAAACATAATAGCTTCATCCAAACCATCCACATGTCTGCTAGATCCCATCCCAACCAGACTGTTTAAAGAGGTGTTTCCCTTGATTAATAACCACATCTTGGATCTGCTTAATTTGGTTTTAATGAATGGTTACATATCACAGAGCTTTAAGATGGGTGTGATTAAACCTTTACTTGAAAAACATAACATTGAAACAGGAATTCTAGCCAATTACTGACCTATATCTAACCTAACTTTCATCTCAAAAATTTTAGAGAAAATAGTTGCAGGTCAGTTGCGTGAAGATCTACAAAGAAATAATATGTTTGAAGAGTTGAAGTCAGGGTTTAGAGCTCATCATAGTACAGAAACAGCATTAGTCCATCCATCCATCCATCCATCCATTTTCTTTACCCGCTTATTCCATTTTGGGTCATGGGGGTTGCTGGTGCCCATGTCCAGCAATCACTGTGTGAGGGGCGGGGTACACCCTGGACAGGTCACAAGTCCATCACAGGGCCACATAGAGACAAACAAGACAAACAAACATTCACTCTCTCACTCACACCTAGGGACAATTTAGAGTTACCAATCAGCCTAACATGCATGTTTTTGGACTGTGGGAGGAAACCGGAGTACCCGGAGAAAACCCATGCATGCACGGAGAGAACATGCAAACTCCACCCAGAAAGGCCCCTGGACCGGGATTTGAGAAACAGCATTAGTAAAAATCACTAATGACGTTCTCATGGCCTCAGACAATGGACTTGTGTCTATACTGGTTCTGTTAGACCCCAGTGCTGCATTTGATGCAGTTGATCATAATATTTTACTACAGAGGCTTGAATATGATATTGGGATTACGGGAACAGCTCTAAAATGGTTTAAATCATATTTATCTGATAGATTCCCGTTTGTAAATGTAAATAATGAATCTTCTTCATACACCAAAGTTAGTCATGGAGTTCCTCAGGGTTCAGTGCTTGGAGCAATGCTCTTTACCTTGTACATGCTTCCATTAGGTAAAGTTATTAAACAGCATGGGATAAATTTTCATTGTTATGCTGATGATTCACACTTATATTTGTCCATTAAACCCAATGAATCCAATCAGCTACTTAGATTACAAGCATGTCTTAAAGACATAAAAACCTGGATGACCTTTAATTTTCTACTTTTGAACACAGACAAGACTGAGGTTTTGGTTTTAGGACCTGAGCAACTTAGGAATTAATTTTTCAGTCTTTTGCCCTCCTTAGATGGCATTAATCTGGCCACCAACTCTAATGTTAAAAATCTTGGTGTTATTTTTGATCAGGACATGTCTTTTATCCCCCACATTAAAAACGTTACTAGAACAGCCTTCTTCCACCTGCATAATATCACTAAAATTAGAAAGATCTTATCTAAAAATCCATCCATTCATCCATTATCTTCCGCTTATTCCGAAGTCGGGTCACGTGGGCAGCAGCTTGAGCAGGGAGGCCCAGACATCTCTTTCCACAGCCACCTCTTCAGCCTCTTCTGGGAGTATTCCAAGGCGTTTCCAGGCCAACCAAGAGATATAGTCTCTCCAGCGTGTCCTAGGTCTTCCCTGCGGTCTCCTCCCAGTTGGACATGCCCGAATCACCTCTCTAGGGAGGCGCCCAGGGGGCATCCTTACCAGATGCCCAAACCATCTCAACTGGCTCAACTGGTGGAGGAGTAGCGGTTCTATTCCGAGTCTCTCCCAAATAACTGAACTTCTCACCCTATCCTTAAGGGAGTGTCTAGTTACCCTGTGGAGAAAACTCATTTCAACCACCTGTATCCGTGATCTCATTCTTTCGGTCACTACCCAGAGCTCATGACCATAGGTGAGGGTAGGAACGTAGACCGACCAATAAACAGAGAACTTTGCCTTACAGCTCAGCTCTCTCTTCACCACAACGGACCAGTACAGAGTCTGCAATACTGCAGATGCTTCATCAATCTGTCTGTCAATCTCACGCTTCATTCTTCCCTCACTCGTGAACAAAACCCTGAGATACTTGAACTCCTCCACTTGAGGCAGAACCTCACCCTTGACCTGAAGAGAGCAATCCACCGTTTTCCGGTTGAGGACCATGGCCTCAGATTTGGAGGTGCTGATTCTCATCCCAGCCACTTCACACTCGGCTGTGAACCACTCCAATGAGAGCTGGAGATCATGGCACAATGACGCCAACATGACCATATCACCTGCAAAGAGCAGAGATGGAATCCTGAGGCCACCGAACCGGAAACCTTCCGCCAGCTGGCTGCACCAAGAAATTCTGGCCATAAAAGTTCTGAACAGAATCGGTGACAATGGGCAACACTGGCGGAGTCCAACTCCCACCCTGAAGGGGTCCGAATTACTGCCGGCAATGCGAACCAAACTCTCGCACTGCTTGTATAGGGACTGAACAGCATAACAATGGGCCTCCAATCCCATATTCATGGAGCACCCCCCACAGTGTACTCAGAGGAACACGGTCGAATGCCTACTTCAAGTCCACAAAACACATGTAGACTGGATGGGCAAACTCCCATGACCCCTCAAGGACCCTAGTGAGGGTAAAGAGCTGATCCATTGTTCCACGGCCAGGGCGGAACTCACATTGTTCCTCCTGGATCTGAGGTTCGACTAACGATCTGACTCATTTCTCCAGTACCCCTGAATTGACCTTACCAGGGAGGCTAAGGAGAGTGATGCCCCTACATTTGGAGCACACCCTCTGGTCCCCCTTTTTGAAGAGGGGAACCACCACCCCAGTCTGCCAGTCCAGTGGCACTGCCCCCAATGTCCACGCGACGTTGCAAAGGCATGTCAGCCGAGACAGCCCCACAACATCCAGAGTCTTAAGGAAATCAGGGTGAATCTCATCCGCTCCCAGAGCCCTGCCGCCTCAGAGCTTTTTAACTACCTCAACGACTTCAGCCACAGTTATGGGCGGATCAAACCCAAAGTCCCCCGACTCAGCTTCCTCCGTGTAAGATGTGCTGGTGGGATTGAGAAGGTCCGAGAAATATTCCTTCCACCTTCTGACAACATCACTGGTTGAGGTCAACAGCACCCCACCTTCACTGAACACAGTGTTAGTAAACTGCTGCTTTCCCCTCCTCAGCCGCCTGATGGTTTGCCAGAATCTCCTCGGAGCCGACCGAGAGTCTCTATGCAAGGTCTCACTGAACTCCTCCCACATCCGAGCTTTTGCCTTAGCAACAGCCAAAGCTGCACACCACTTGGCCCTCCAGTACAACTCAGCTGCCTCCAGAGTCCCACTGGCCAACAAGGCCCGATAGGACTTCTTCAGCTTGACAGCCTCCCTAACCCGGGGTGTCCACCACCGAGTTTGTGGATGATCACTGCGAGAAGCACCGACAACTTTGCGGCCACAGCTCAAGGCAGCTACCTCAACAAGAGAGGTGCGGAACATGGCCCACACAGACTCAATGTCCACCACCTCAGCTGGGATGCAGTTAAAGCTTTCCCAGAGGTGTGAGTTGAAGATCTGTCTGATGGGTTCTTCTGCCAGGTGTTCCCAGCAAACCCTCATTACATGTTTGGGTCTACCGGGCCTGTCCGGCATCTCCTCCCACCATCTGATCCAACTCACTACCAGGTGGTTATCAGTTGACAGCTCAGCTCCTCTCTTTACCCGAGTGTCCAAAATAAATGGCCGCAAATCAGATGACACAACTATGAAGTTAATCATCGATCTACGACCTAGGGCATCCTGGTGCCAAGTGCATTTATGGACACCCTTATGTTCGAACATGGTGTTCGTGATGGACAAACTATGACTAGCACAGAAGTCCAACAACAAAACACAGCTCG